TCTTGAATGGCACCTTAATGGCCCTTTGAATGGCCTATTGAATGGCCCTTTGAATGGCCTATTGAATAGCCATTTGAATGGCCTTTAGTAGGTGGTCAAGAATGACCCTTTAATGGAAGGAATGAACCCTTAATTGTGAGGAGTTGCAATATGTAAAGATGAATGTGAAGGTGAAGCATCCACTAATAAGGAAAATTCACAATAATTTATAAATTAATTTTAATTTATTAAATAATAAATATGAATTATTTGATTAATTATTAACTATTTTTAACAATTAAAATAAACTAAAAAATTTAACAACTTAATAGTCCTAGTAAAAATGATGATGGGCATAACCATTGCCATCTTAAGCCTGAACAACAGCCCCAATAGTTGATGCTTTGACTCTTGCTCGGGGCTTCCTCTTTCCTCTCCCCTCTCCTTTAAAATGTATAGATCGATGTTGCAACTTGTAATTGCCCTTCTTTTAAAAAAGATATTGACGAGGACCAATGCTCCCACAATCTTCAATCTATGATTTGGGAGAAAGGCCGACTGCCTCTAATTTGGTGCCCAAAATATAGATAATTTTAGGATTGGTCTTTTAATTGATTGATTAATTCCAATCAAGCGGCAGGATATTAATAAATTTGAATTAAAAAATTGACTTTTAAGTTATTAATTATTTCATTAAATTTAACCACTTGACACTAATGTTAAAATTAATATCAATTTTTATATTTGTTATATTTTTTATATGTATTTATGACAAAAAATACTTTTAATATATGTTCTAAAGGCACAAATTAGAAAAACCTTAATTTTTATTGTAAATTGACTCTCTAAAGTAGCTTTTATACTATCTCCAATGAATTTTACTTAGGAATTTTAAATAAGTTCAATAAAGGTGTAATTAATACACTTTTTAATAGTATTAATTTGCATTACTCTTTTTCATATAATTATTGAGAAAATTACTTAGATTTATAAAACACATTTATTCTAAAAATAAAAAAGAGGAAATTTCGTATTTATGGTTATTAATGAGGGTAATTGAGAAGTTGAGACGTGTTCTTTTTAAGAATGGAGTAGTTATTGATAGATTCAAAATTTTGAAAAGTGTAATGTAATCGGAACTATGCCAAATTATATTACATTAACTATTATATAAGATAAGATCAAAGCCTTCCCCTGTGCTTTGAAACTTTATGGTTTTGGTGGCAGCAAGATTTCTCCTTTGGGTCTTTCTCTAGTTGTGGAGCCTTCTCCTTTCCTTACTGAATACAGCCATTTCCCTTTCCTATTGCATACAACTGCTTCCTTCCCTTTAGTTTCCCTTTTGCTCTATTTTCAGTACTTTAAAATAGGGGAACAAGTACAAATTGGATATCGGGGGTTGTAGATCTGGTCCTTGGTGGCGACAGGGTTGACGATTAATTCTCCTTTATGTTGTTGGTTACCGGTGTTGATAAGAATGGAAAATGAAGAAATCAAGTCCATGCTTAATCATGTCCATCTTATAGAAGATGAGGACGGCATCCTTCCCTTGCATTTGATTTGGAAACCCGATGACTCCAAGGTAGAAAAACTATGTTTAGTGGGGAAGATCCTTTCCTGGAAAAAGATCAATATGAATGGTCTCCATAAGGCTTTAATGGTTTCATGGAGCCTTAGGAAGGCCTTTACAATTTTGAGATTGGGGAAAAAATCTATTTGTTTTAATTTTCTGAGATTAGAGATCTCAACAAAACCCTACATAAAGGACCTTGGAATTTTAGCAACTCATTGCTTATTCTTAAACGTTTTCAAGCCTCTTTAACAACAGAGCAATATAATTCTCTACAAATCTTTTTTGGGTCCGAATCTTTGATGTCCTTGTTGGTATGCAGTCATACCAAATCCGACTCATGATTGGGAATTCTTTGGGGAAGGTTCTAGAATTCAACTAAAGTTTTCGCAAGGCTATCAGAGTTTGAATTGATTTGGAAGTGAATTAGCCCTTAAGAAGATTTAAAACTTTTCAGATTTTTGCTATGGATTGCAAGAAACTTCAAATCAAATACGACTGACTTCCAGAGTTTTGTTTTGTTTGTGGATGCATGGGCCACCTTGAAAATAGTTGTGAAATTGCCAATAAGATAAAAGATGGTGGAGGTAAAATTGTTCGACAATATGGATCGTGGTTAAAAGTTGAACCGGAACACTTATGGTGCCTAGATGATCTTGACCTCTTAGATGAAACCTTTATTGCAAATACACATGTTCTAGCTAGAGATAACAATGAAGGGAACAAGGAGCATTATGAGACTGTAGCTAACAAAGCAAGCCAGATAAAAGGGCACAAGGAAACTACTGTTGGAGAACTAGAGGAAGACAATTATGCAATTGTTAATGCAAGCCAAATGGAAGGGAGCAGGTGTGGGAGAAATTGGAGTTGAAACAGCTCAGCCTCCTAATATTGCTATAAGAGAAATGGCTTCGGCGGGGAATGTGGAAAACACTGATGGTTTGCTAGGTTTGATGAGCAATCAATTAGTGGAGATACTTTTAGCTCTTGGATTTGATGGCGTTGAATAGTTAAGATGACAAAGAAATGGTGTAAAAGGAGGTAGGGGCAAACGGAAACGAATAGGACATGAGGTGGGGTCGTTGGTGCATATGGACAAACTTACTCAAGGAAAAAGAAAAGGTAGTACAATAGTTTTGGAGGAACAACGGGCTATCAAGGTGATACTAAATAATACAAGAGGGGCTATGATTCCTGAGAAGGTCAATGGCACTTCTTTGATCATGCAGGTGGATAATTTTCTTCCATGTACTGGTTAAATATCAATTGTGGATGGACAAAGCGTTGTAGTGCTGGGAGATATTACATCACCAAGTCCATTGATCTCCTATGCTAGTTTGAGTGGTACAATAGATGTGATTGCTAACAGCGTCAATAAGTTCCAATGCACTCTTTCTATGTTATTATATAACTCTATTGATACATTTATGATATAAACTAATATTTAGAAGTTCCCAATTCCTAATTGTCACTATTTGTATGAAACATTTAGCTCTATATGTTAGTGTCAGAGGTCCATCCTAGTTTTTTCTTGTCTTACTCGGCCTATATAGTAAAGTATAGCCTATATTGTAATTGTCTTTCAATTATTAATACAACTATACTTCTCATCAAAGAAAAAAAAAACTATTAGATGAGATTAGATCTCTTGATATTAAAGGTCCTCTCTCATTCAATGATTCATATTTTACAATTTGATATAATTTTAATTGTAAAATATGATTCCCCAATTTTTTTTAAGAAATATACTTTAATGCTATGTTAAAAAGTAAATTTAGTAAGTGTGGTAACTGAAATAGACTAAATATAGTATTATTTCAAGATTATTTATAGTAGTACAGACTTGATGAAAGTTAATTATTTAAGTAAAATATACTACCTGAATAATAAGTCATGAATATATTGTACTTCTCCTCTATATTCTAATATCCTTGGTTTTATTTAAAAAAATTACGAACAGGGAAATTTTTGTGAGAAAATCGATGAGCTCGTGGGTGATATTTTAAAATTAGTAAATAGTAATTTCGTTAATACTTCATTGGTTTTTCATCATTAATTTTGACAAAGGGTTATAACAGCTCCATTTTTGCTTGCAATTGTTTTATTGTTTGATTCTTTGCAACCGTATTAACTTTTTTTCATAAATATTGGAAAGTGATCAAACATGTTTCTTGAACACATATTGAGAAACAACAAACATAGGAAAGTAACCCATATCATTGTTCCAACATTTGGCATGTGGTTTTGATAATTAGATGTGTAGTTCCTTCTAAGGCATTTTCATCTCCCAATCCATTTTAATAAACCCCTCAAACATTGTTAATTTGCCGCGTTAACTGGTTATCAAACTCAGTCTTCATGTCGACATGATAGAGTTTAGTAACCTAACTTGTACTCAAGTTGACATGTTGCCGATATTATTTTTCCTTGTTCTTATTCTGCCTTTTGCAGTCATTTAAAAATAAGTGGAGTTTCTGCGTGCTTTGGACGGAGATGCCAGTACCGTCTTTGGGGCTTTTGACAAAAGAACACTGGTGAATCTTGAACGCAACGAGCTGATTCATGATCTTGCCTTTTGCTGGCTTTTAGTATATAACGATTACTGGGGTAGCTGATCACGATATCATGTTCTTCTGTTCTTTCACCAAGTACACTGGACATGCTGATTCTCCAATTGTCTGTGCTCCATCTTCCGTGATAATCCTGTTAATTATAAATTGAGTGAATCTGAATAATCTGACTCATTTTTCTATGAAGTTGGACTATCGTAAAAAGTATATATATATATATATATATTTCGAAACAAAGAGATGACTAAGCTTAAATTTGAAAGAATTTGATTTTTTTTTTAATACATCAAAAGATTAACAATTTGACATGGGAAAAAATTTAAAACTCTCACTTAAATCTCAAATTATAAATTTTAAACTAAGAAATTTAATTCAATTAAACTTTTATTAGTATAAATTTGATTTTCTATTTGGACTAATCTTGGGTAAATCTAATTAATCTGACTAATTGTTTGATCTCGTGGGTTCTCACTCTAGTCGATTAAAAGTTTTCATTTTTTTCTTGTATTGTATTTAAACCAACAACAGAACAAGCGTACCAGAGTGGAGATGGGAGGGTACTCCCCTGGTAACATCATAATAGAGAATTATGTACCAAAATTATAACTAAAGCGCTCATCAAAATTTCACACCAAAAAAAAAAAAAAAAAGGAGTATCCAGTGCACAGGTTTTCATTTTGGAGAATATTAAATTTGTAATTGCTCAAAGAGAGAAAATAAAGACTCAAAAAAATACATTGTGAGATCAATCAACTCTTACAGACATTGGACAAAGCAATTATCATGCGCAGATATCTTCCAGAGGACTTGTTCATCCACCTGTCTCTTTTTGCTCTCATGCTTATGTGATTCAAACTTGTAAATAAACTTCCAAATTTCAAAATCCAGAGGACTTTCTTGTTCATCTACCTGTTTCCTTTTGCCCTCATGCTTATGTAATTCAAACTTGTAAATAAACTTCCTGAATTTGAAATGTCAACCGAGAGGAGTGACAATTAGATAAGTCTTAGTTCATACTCGCCAGCCATTGTTATGTATCTGACCCATGGAAGAGCCTGGTAGCCGCTTTTCTCAATAATCTTTAGGTAGCGAACCTATAAAATTAAGACAGACATGTAAATAAATTGCTATCAGGAATCCAATCAATTCAAGAACTGTTTCATTAGCATTGAATTGGATCAAAAACAATCTCTAACTTGACATAAGCCTAAAGTCAACTATTGATTCATAAAGTGATGTGATGCCATCACATAACTGACCTCAAATTATAACTCAGTAATTTCAATGACTTACTAATAGATAAAGTCATCTTCTTATGATCTTATAGTCAGCCTTTAAAGGATTCTTCCTCCTTCTTCTTCTTCTTCTTTTTTTTTAATCAAATTCATAGACTGAGTTTATCCCTAGTTCAAAACCTAGGGTAGAGCACTACATGATTCTAGAAAAATTTTCCTTCAAAGAGGCAGAAGCTGTTATATCCGCTGTTCATTCGTATTTAACTATCTAATTTAAGGGTGAAGCAAAGTAACCCTTTTAGCCCAAGACTAAAAATTCCATCCATCTCCTTTTCTTCTTTTTTTTCCAAATCTCTTGTTTTTCATAAATCAAGACAGTGCTTATCATCTTCACAGTTAATCCAAAATCATCCTCAAATGCCAAAAACAGCATTCCTAACACTGAATGTGTCCCAATAGTTTAGCCAAGCCCCATAAATCTTATTTCCTATGGGCTAGATTAATATCCATCTGTCTATATGCTTCAATATTAAGATTTAATTTATGCACCTACTAGTGGTGATCTGTAATCCCACCACATCATAGTTTAAGGGATGACCATCTCATTTATTTAAAACCAGCAACTTTAAAATACCCAGGCATCTAATCCAGATAAATTAATATAGGGCAACATTTTATCACTATAGTCCTTGGTAAGAGTGAACAAGAAAAAAGAAAAATGGCAAGAAATCATAGAAATTAACAAAATATTATTGTTATCAAGCATTCAATTTTTTAAAGGCAAACCTGTATTCCTGAAACAGTAAAATATGGGATTTCGAACTTCACACGTATAGGAGCTTTTCTCTCCGGACCTCCATCTTCAGCAGTAATACTAGGAATTCTGAACTCTGCCCTCAACATATACTCCTAATGATAAAGAGTTTAAGACACAGATCAATGTAATGGCTTGGAAAACAGACAAAAGTTTCTTAATAGCGATACTAAGTTATGAACAAACAGTCAATGCTGATTTAAAAAAAAAACTGTTGATGAGTTCAGGAGCTGATACCTTGCCACCAGGAAAAGATTTTATCTTCCACACCAGTGCATCACTTTCAGGTGCATATGCTGCAGAACCCATTGATGTCCGGACATTTGGATTGGAAGCATCAGCAGGTACTGGCAACTCAATCTCAACATTTGTAGCAGTACTGTCAAGGATCATGGTACCTTATGAGTGCAAGGTTAACTAATAATAACATCACCTAGAACTAGGAATATGCATGTGAATTAAGAATATTGAGAACACATTCAAACAGCCCAATTCAAATTTGTTTCTAAGCATGGTTACTGATAAAATTCAATGCATAACAAATGTATTCATTAACCAGTGAAATAGTGTGCTTCTGTGTTCAACTAAACCAATTTCAATTTGGTCCAATTTTTAAATTTTAATTAATAAAATTGTCATGACAAACCATATATATTGTTGTCCCAAATTCTTAAGGAATTAAATCAACCAGAGAAACCACCAGAATGCTAAACAAGAACTTAATACCTGCGCTCCTTGAACTGACTCCTCGCCTTTACCATTATCTCAACTCTGCTTCTTGAATGTCTTTCAACCTGAGCTTCCACCCAAATGAGAGGCTTTACCTGAAACCAGTGAATATTGTAAACCATTAATTTCAATGATGCAAGCAGGTGGAGTTACAGAGGAGAAGCTGTAAGTCAAAGATAAAAGGTGAACCTGAGTACTGAGTCTGTACGTCATAAGATCGAAAGATCCATCAGGAGGAATGAATGATATCGTGCGGTCATTTTCAAATCGTGCCAGCCGCACACACCTAGAACAAAAGTGGTATTTTAATGGAAAGAGAAGCAAATATGAACATAGGCAGCAATGCTATGAACATAATTGTCAGATTTCAAGCAGATATGAGAGAAAGATACATACTGATGAAATTTTATATCCTCCAAATCAATTGCCTTTCCCTTTGTTGCTCGGCCTTGTGCCTCCAATAATACTCTATCATTTAGGCCAAGCTTACACTCAGGCATACCACTGCAACAGACAAATCAATGACAAGAAGTGAGAAGAGAGCTAAACCAGAGACAAAACTTTAAAGGGAAAGCACATTTCCATTAGGAATGCGAATCAAGTAACTCAAATTTCTGATTAAGTTTCCAGGGCCTGGCTGGCATTATTCACTTCCAGCCAATAATTGAGTAGAGTAAGCATGTGCACAAAGATGCTAAGAATCACCAATCATCACAAACTTCCATTCTAACAAGTATTCATGATGATACAGAATTTCGGTGAAAAGAGCACAAGGCAAGGAGCAAAGAAGTAGAACGGTCAGTTCAAGCAAAATCGCAAATTAATTCTCCCTCTTCCTCTAGTTGTATGTGAATCCAAGTTGTACAATAAGTCCATAACTTCAATGAGGCTTTCTTTCTTGTCAAATTAACTTATGGCTGATCTTTAGCTCAAAGGTAAGTATCATAGCATCATTCAACTGATAGTAAATTTTTTGAAACAATTTTTAAGTGAATGTCAGCAAGGTGATCTGAAATGGAGATAGAAAGACACCAATTCAAGATTTCTTTTTAAAACTTCCAAAAGAAGTGTTTGAATCCAATTCCTATCATAAGTCTATTACTTCAATTAGTACTTGCTTGTGTGGTAAATTAACATACAGCTGAACATTAACTTTAAATTACTAGGTTGCATTATTCATCTGAAGTACAACATTTTTTGAAGCACAGAATTTGCTACACAAGACAGTTTTTTAGACTAAAATTTTAATGCTACACATATATATTCATTAGGCTAGCAAGTAAATCATTGAGCACAATAGAATCATTAGTCAAATTGTCAAAGCAATAAAGTTGGATGAGAGAATACAGAATTTCACATAAAACACACCTCAAATAGGTTCTCATCTTCAACGCTCCAACAACATCTGACCTAATTATCTGTCCATTGCTGTTGACAAGAATATTAACCTTCTCCACCACATCCAAGAAAACCTGAATGAAGAACAAAGTCATTATTATCTGATGTTTCAAGACATCTATAAAAAACCAGTAAAAAAGGAGACAATTACTTCATTCTTCTTATAGACTATCCCTTCACTCCGCCAAGAGACTGCATTTGTGACAGCCATAGGAGGCCTCTGTGCAACTTCCATCCTATACGCATCAGTCTTGATAAATTCACCAAGAATTTTTGCTTCGGTATATTGAGGGTAACCAAAATCCATCATTTCATCAAGTAACTCATACTGCCATATCCATGATGAATAGCAATAAATAATATTTCAATTTATAAGCACTTTACCGAAAAGGAAAAATGAAAAAAGGAACAATATCTCTGAGCAACTTAGCCGCAGAGATCTCAAAAAGAATTTAAAACAAGAAAAAACTATACAAGAATTCCACATACCACTACTACAAAATTATCCCTAAGTGATTCCTCTTCTAACTCTTCAAAATAATGTTTGAAGACCTGCAAGACAGAGAAAATCATAAATGATCAAAAACTACCAAGAATCGTATAATCTTACCAAGAAATAACATATGTAACACCTCACTATTCTATGAAGAGCATGAAAACAATTTTACCAATCGTGCTTACATCAACTACACGGTGTAGAAAGAAAAGAAGGCTTGCAGCATTGCAGTTCTGTCTTGAAGCTGTCATCAGGTACACATTGCTGTGCTGTATAAACATGTATGTCACTCCATTGTCGTAAACAACTGGATCCTGAGACTCTGGATCGCCCTAAAGCATATCAAGTATATAAACCAATTACTATTTCTAGCCGAAAACACTAAATTCAAATCACAGATCTCTAGTTCAAGCTCAAACAGGGAGGCACAATCATCAAACAAATCATATTCTTAATAAATTCAATAAAGCTCTAAAATTGTTACACAAGCATTAATCAATGATAAGATTGCCAGAGAAACAAAATAAAGGAATCTGAGAAAGAGAGAGAGCTAACGGACCTCTTTCTCGATGAGCTTGGTGAAGAAGCGTTCTGCTTGAGTGGCGGAGACGTCGCCACGGTAGTCGCGCCACACCAACACGCGGCCCTTGATATCGAGAAGAAACAGAGCGGAGACCGCCCCCGCCATTTTCCTTCAATCTCCAAGGATTTCACAGATCGGATCCACCTAACCGGAGCTCGATGAGATCTGATCGAAATCAACTAAAGCGATTGGCCTAAAGGCAGAAACAGTAAACGTTGCTGCGTCACAGAAATGGTGATCGTCGTAGAGGAATCATTATGGAGAACTCAGGCTTTTTGTCGGATTTAATTCCGGGTTTTCAAACGAAGGAACCTTGGTGGTGGTCGATCTTGCAGATTGGCTTCTGTACAAAGACTATTTACTGGAATGTGTAAGCCAGAGCGTTTAAACGGTGCGTTTAAACGGAAAAAAATAATCAAGACACAATTTTATGATTTTCCCCCTTTTTCTCATTTTTTGCTACCATTTTCCATTTTACATTCTTTCCATAAAAAATAAAATTAAGATATTCATTAAACGGGTGCTCTTGAATCTCTTAAGGGAAGTTGAATTGTGTCCTTAGCTTTTAATAATTAAAAGTAACTTCATAATTTTTTTATGAGATTGGAAAATTTTACATAAATATAATTATTACAACAATTCTTATCTATTTTTTTAAAATTTTAACAATTAATGCAATACTTAAATTTTCAATAACTCTTTAAATTTTAAAATATGTGATTGAAAATCAATATAAGAATTTCTTTAGCTTACATCACTTTTCGTACCATGATTTATTGCATCAAGCCATCAATTATATATGTTTTCCTTTATCTTTTTCGGTTTTTGCTGTCATGTTTCTTTCTGCATGAATTATAAGTCATTTTAATAAAAAA